AGGTTTTGTTAACTTAGAGTAATCCAGGCCGTAAATATAAATAGATCCTTTGTAACATATTCTAGCTTTACAAGTGCTGTCTTCTTTAACTTGAAAGGACCAAGCAGTATCCCTCAAAGCTCGTACCCTTAACATTCTTACTTTAAGACCACTCCAATCTTTACTATACTACGCACACTCGATGGTTTTTTTTTTCCAAGGCTACAGATCACATACCTTCCTCTTCAACTTCATTATAAAATCCTCCCTAGTCAAAAGTTACCCCAAAGCGCTTCCTCTCATTTCAGTGGTGTTATCGTTAAGATTCACGTTTTAATATAACGACAGTTATCAGAAGTGATAAGTATAAATTTTTGTCCATTTTCTTTCACTGACACTGCTCCTAAGATTTTGTGTGTTCCCTTTTTTTATGGAATTCAATACTTCCTTAGTCTTCTAGTTCGTTTTCAATCATTACTATTTGGAAAATCGTCATACTTTTAAATACCCAAAATTTTCACTGTTGGCAAGCCGGACCTGAACCGAAACAAAAAGATTCTAATACCCCCTCTTTAAATTTTAAGTCAAGCTTAACTCCGTAAATATCTTTTAAGCATACGGTCGTCCAGTGTTTCTATTAAGAAGGCTTTATATAAATTGCTCTTTTAACTTTACCCCCCACCATGTTTTTCAGCAAGATGATATAACATCCCAATATCGAGATATGAAGCGGTGCTGAAGGCTGTATCAGCGGAGGTTATAACTCTTTCTTTCCACGTTTTAAAAAGTTAATTACTCTAAATTCACAAAAATGTATTCTCCTAAACTTCGAACCGATTCTCATTCTTGCGTAGGCGTTAATAACCTCCCAAATAGCATCTACCTATTGAGTTCTATACACACGATCGGCAAAAACCCATAATGAACGCTGAGCGAGAAAGGATATAAAATTACACATGTCCCTATCGCCTTCTTCACAAACCCCAGGAGAAAGATCAAAATTGCATTTTCCCCCAACTTTGGCTTTGCTTATACTTGCTTAGATGCAAATCTTGGTATTTTAGTTAATGCTCAAAGTCGAAGCTCTTTCTTTCATTTTTCTTGAGAACTTAAGAGTTTATTCGCACTTAAACGCTCCAAAATTTTAAGCCATGCTATTTTGGTTTCATACATATTTACTGGTTCGTGACAGTTTTGCACGTTCTGTATCAATTCTCTTCGCTATAGCTTTTAATTAAAGGTTTAATAAATGCTCGCCTAGGTCAAAGCTGTTTGGTATTATCGAGCTTTTCTTCGATGAAAAACAAAGTTTTACCCTTAGCGCAAACTCTTCCAACACGTATAAAATAGTAAGAGCTTTTAATTTGAGCTTTCTCCTTGCGAAAAAGCACCTGCTCTGGTGAAACCAGTTTTTAAGCAGCTTTCTTACTAACTCCGTGGCTGATTGAAAATCTTACACAAAGCTTTTTCATGAGGAAAAAATGACCAGTGGCCCTGATTACGATAAGATATCTTTTTGCTATCAATACTACTTTGCCTGCAAGATGTACGGGAAAAAAACTCTTCCTTCATTTGTGGTAAACTTATGTACGAGGATCAATTGCTCTATTGTGGTAATGTTTTTCGGCGTGTCCATTTTTACTGTTTTCAAAACAATTTTGGTCTTTAAGTTAACAAACAATTTTCATATGGCTAGTCTTCTGCATCGTCCGCAACCTCTTCAGCGAACTTTGGTGCTAGGAACTCCGTAAAGCGATAATCGCCCGGTGCGTGGACCTCTATATGTTTGGACATTACTTTCGCTCCTCATGAGAAGTACATTCAGTGGTTCTTGTAAAACACGCGCTTCGGCTTCCTAAAACTTGTTCGTGGTCTCTGCTAATTCACAGCGAGTTTAAATAAGGACTTAAACTTTAAAGTTTGACTTAATACACCTTTTACGTATTAATTTTAAGTCCTCTATTGCTCGTCAATTTGCAGACTACGAAAAAAACGCAATTTTTTTTTTCTGATAGACTCCTAAGGGAGCAACTTTATTGTTAATTCCATCCTCGGACTATATAGTAGAATCACTATCAAACATGTGTGTCTTTAAATCGGGTTAATCGCACTCAAGGGGAGAGGGGCGTCTCTTTTGGAGTTGCAGTTAATTTCGACATTAACCGTTAAAATAAAGTGTATATAAATATAAAATAGGCACACAAACACAAATGATAAAAAAAAAAGGGAGAAACAAAGGAAGGATGAAAAAGAGTAAAGAGCTGTTTTGCTCAAAAAGTATTTGCTTTATAGATATACATTCCATATTATTCGGCATTAGTTTTAATTCTTTTACATCGTAAATAAATAAGAAAATGTCCATTTTAGAAACATGCGTTTGCATTAAATTGTCCAAATCTCTTTTCACATTAACCATGATTGGGTTTTGTTCTCCAGGAATTCCCTTACTAGTGTTAGTATAAAGCGGTAATTTTGTGTTAAGGGCTTTTTCTCAGAAGAGCTTCACTTCGTTCGGGAAAGTCAGTCTTATCATTTGCTCCTTGTTAAAATAAGAGGGAGAATATTTAAAGAATAAAAATGTACACAAGAACACTAATAACAAAAACAAGATAGCAAAGAAAAAATAGTTTATTCAAAAACCAGTATTTGCTTTAACTATGCATTTAAGATTATCCAGCATTGTTTAAATTCCTTTTATTATATATATATCACAAAAATTTTTCACTTTAGAAATATGCGTTAGCATTATGGTGTCAAAATCTATTTTCACACTCCTTTTTCTTGCTAACTGCCTTAAGTAAAAGAGGTTTTCACCCCAAACTAACACTTTTTTCCTTTTACCGTTAAATGAAGGAGTGTATGAGGCAGCCACCGCCTCTTTCCAGGTTAGTTAGCCTTGACACGGATTAACAAATTACGTTATTCTTTATCGTCTTTTAATAGCGAAACCAACTTTTACTGATTACTGATGTTAGCTTTAATCCTTAATATAACTATTTACGTAAGCCCTCATCTGTCTACATGTTCCTTCTGTCTCTTGACTATTCGACCTTTGCAGCTTTATAGACTGAAGCCTCCAAAACCACATTAAACGAAAGAGATGAATAAGAGCACAAAGTAAAAAAAAAATTGCGATTAATAACTTCTAGGTTTGTATATATAACTATTTGTTATATAGAAATAAATCAGAAATAATGAGTGACCAGTGGAAATTGAATTCGGACTAGGCCCAATAACTTAAGTTATTAGCAAAATAAGGGGTATGCGCTAGAATTACTGAGCATCTGCATAAATCACTAATAATAATAATTATATAACAATATTTTAAAATAATCTTGCGGTGGTTAATACGACAAAACTTTTAAGTTACTTTGCTCGGAATTATATTTCGTGGTTAGAAATTTTAAATTTTTGTAAACTGAATGCGCAAGTGAGTGCTGGCAAGTGGGTCATCTCGACGGATATCAGGTATCGCACTACTTCCAAATGAATAATCGCAAAAAATTATGCTATCTATTGCTTTAATGTAAACTGTACGTTCGTACACTAGCACAAAATTATTACATCTAACTTCGTTGTTGTCTTGCAACAAGTTTTTTTAAGCGCGCCATAAAATAGATGTAGGTCAGCAACCTGCTTTTTTATGTCATGAAGTAAAAGTATCAAAAATAAAACTTAAAAAAATTCAGCTGTCATATTTAAAAATTTTGAAATTTTTTTTAGTAAAAGAGCCCTATGTAAAAACTAATTATCATATTTTTTGTGCATATATATATTACTTATATACAATTTTTCTTTAATATTAATGTAATTAAAGCAACGCGCGAAATTTTACTTTTTACCAAAGATGACGTCTCCTTTGACATCATAAATATTTATTACGCAGCAGCTAAAAGGTAAACTTTAACTGCATTTTTCCTATATCTCGCTTTAGTATCAGTAGCAAGTATTAAAATTGCAACTTTATCATATAAAGGGTAAAACTTAGTAGCTTTTATATAAATGACATTAGTACTGCCCTTTAATACTCTATCATTATAAAATAAAAATTAAGTTCAATTACAAAACGTATTTGATTATAACAGCTGTTAAAAAAATGTAAAGCACGTCAAAACTAAAAAGGGAAGATGCTGCACATATTATTCTCTAATAGCAAGAAACTATTAGGCTAATAACGAAGAGAGATCAACCACCTTTCGACCAGGAAACTTAATAGTCAAAAAATTCACCCCAAGGATAATATTTTACTTCATGCTTTGTGTCTTGCAGTTCACAGTTTGTCTTAATGCCTTAATTTGGGATAAAGGTTAGGCTAAAACCTAATATTTAAAGGTAATTGCAATTTTATATAATTGCAAAAAGTCAATAAATGGTGAGTGTTAACGTTATATTGAGGTATATATCGTCCACTAACAAGCTAAGTGGTTTAATGCTAAAATTCAAGTTTTCATTGATAGTCTTATTAACACTGCTTAAAAACTCAATTCCAAAAAAGGGAGCATTTTATATTTATTTGATTTAAAAAAATTGGTTTTTTCGCAGTCTAAGTCGTTTTTAATCTAGTATTATTTATTTATACTAAAAATTACATTAAAAATTTATATATAATATTTTTTTGAATTCTATTCAATTAAATAATTTGTTTATTTTAAGAATTTTATCACGATTTCACAGGCAATTTTTTTCTTTAAAGATGTGACGCTAAAATGTACGTAATTCTCCGCTAGCGTCTTAAATATCCAATTGGTGTCATTGCCTTTCAATTTTTAGTATGGAAAAAAGTTAGTTCTGCAAGTTATTGGATTTAGGAGCTTAGCTGAACGCTTTCAAATAATTAATCCCTCGCTTTTGCCTTATTTAGGTTATTTTTAATTACTTATGTCGCGTTTCATATCTTATATAAACCAATGAGAAAAAGTTCTATAGATCCTAGTAATACGACATGTATTTAAAAACAAATTATAAGCTTAATTTTTCATGTCACAATGATACTGGGCTCTATCCAGTTTGAACATTAAGTCGTTATGCACCTTCGCAGGGCTGAATTATTCGGGAAAACTTCGTATCCAGTCGCACTGACTGTAATAGTCACTAATTCTAAATTTAAAAAACCTGATTTTGATCAATTAAATAAGGTGAAGATGATTTAGCTGTAACAAAATTGTGTATAGTTGTCGTTATAATGATATACATAGGAGCCTGGAGAAGACCCATACGATAAAATTATAAACTACTATATGAAAAAGAAAGCAAAGAAAAAATATATTTGACTTCCGAATATAACGATTTTGTGTAAAAAAAATTTTTTAATAATATCACGGTCTTTTCAAGATATTTTGTCATATATTTAGGTACATGTTTAAGCATATGATTCCATGTTAAACTCCTTTAAGGGAAGAATATTAAAGGGGAAGACCAGGTCTCTTGTGTTTTTTTTTAATTATGTAGTATATCTAAGGATGATACTCTTTTTATAACCTCTAAAATCTGTAAAAGTTTTCGTCAAAAATAAAGTTATACAGATAACTATCCTTTTTTCCCGCTATTTATAACTTTATTTCTTTATATTACAGTTTAAAAGTGTGTAAGTCTTCTTTGGCTTTTAAAACAAGTTATTAGAGGAATTTAATTTCATCTTGATCATTCAGTAGTCTAAAGTACAACATAAAAGTTATATGGCAACAATTTTTTTTTAATAGAATAGTCACTTAATAACTAAAAGTTAAAAAAATTTTTACTTTAAGAAAACTTTAGAAGTCATACCATTACATAAATTGTTGTTTATTAATTATAATGATTATAGTAAAATTAAGAACGCTGTTTTTCCTGAAAATTTACATCTAACTTTGAATAAAAATAGTTAAATTGGTACTAAAAAGGTAAAAAAAAAACTATAATACATGTTTTTAGGCCTTTTATTTCTTTTTGAAGTTGTAGTAACAAGCTATTTTTTTTTAAAGCTCCGTTTAGTATTTTTTGTTCTATCTTTTCTTTTTATAAACTTAATAGGAAATCATATTGTGGCCCGTCCTGCAGTATAAAAATCTTCCCGTCCGCCTTTTTTAGTTACTAGTTTCTAAATTATTTCAGCTGTTAATTTATATTAAATCATGGTCATTATCCTTTTAAAGCTAGCGTTGTTGGTCCACGGTTCGTTTAAACTTTTGCGAGAAAAGAGTTATTGTACCATCACCAACTTTCAGGATTGTTTACTGAAGTTCAAGAAATTCAGTACTTAACTTAATTAAAACTTTTTATCAATAAATAAAGTCTTTTCATGTAGGTTTTTTACAGTCTAGTACAAGTATCTCATGAAAATCGAACTTTTTAAATCAATAAGAAAAGGAGGCGATATTGCCACTTTTTAAGTGGAAAGAACTTAGACTGTAATACATCGTTAACTTCGTAATTTATGCTTACTGTTTCATATCTTCGTCCAAAAAAATATTTATTGCATCACATGTTTACGTTGCTCACCTGTGGGCAACACTAAGTTGGTAGGGTCAATTATTCCAACTTTGACCATCCCACTAATAATACCAGAAGTATCGGCAATAGCTTCTGCAGTTAGATTTACTAGTTTCGATAAAGAATAGTTCGGGTTATTTTCCTTGTTGTTTTAATTAGATAATTATACAAAAGGCAAGCTTGCACCAATTTTATTAATTTCATAGCCTTTTTAAATAAAAGAGAGTTATAAAAGTCAGTATCTTCTCAACTACAGTCATTTAGGTTAAAAAATTTATCAAGTTACAAAGCCTAAGAACTCAAAATAATTAATTGTAATAGGTTAACTAAGACTATTAGTGTAGCTACTTGAGGGTGTAATCCCATAAACTAAGTTTGCTTTATAAAAAAGTGTAATGTACCTTTTACACATACTATTTTTGCGGAGATTTATGTTTTTTAAGTAATTGTTAACTTATTGGTAGTCTTCTTTCATAAATTTTTTTTTATCCCTAATTTCGTGTATGAGGCGATACAAGACTGTCAGTTTGTACTCTTGTTATTGTATAACTTTTAAAGCAACCTAGAAACACTGACGTGCACATATTGTAGATTGCAATAATGTTCAAATTTTGTCTATTTATGCCTTTTTTATAGGTTACTAAGATTAATAACTTGAACTGGCGAGGTGCTAAATTATTATCTGAAGTTAAAAAATCGTTTAAACTTATGAAAAGCGATGTTACTAAGGGAAGTTAAAAAAACCATAAACATGAACAAAAAAAAATTATTAAACTATTAATAAGAGCCGATAAATATATGAAGAAATCCATAAATTTCTTAGAGCCTCCTTAACGCCTAATATTGAAATTATAAGTTTTTTTATGATGCTTCTTTTTTAAAAAATATATTCACGGTATATCTGCGGTAAAGTGTGTAGCTTTAAGACATTCTACTGTTATCCGCCTTTCTAGCAAAAGTGAAGCATTGCAAATTACTTTTTTTTTTATTTATTTTTTTAATGCTTGCAGTTTTTATTGAAAGTTTGGTAGTTTATCTATAACTATATAGAAAAAGTAGTTGATTACATATTTCTCAATAACTATTAGAGGTAAGTGAACTTGTATAGATTTTATGCGTGTCTGGGCTATATCTTTTTCACAATATTGTATTCTAGTGGTTTACCGTTTTGTTAAATTTCTTAGTCCTTCTGGCAACATAAATGAAAATTTTGCCGTCATTTTATTGTTTCACTAGTTATTTCTCGTTTTTCAAAACAATAAAATTTTTTTTAAAAGTTTTCAATAATTCCTTGAATCTAGAGTTAGCAGATAATATTCTTCGTTGTACGTTTGTTTTAAACTCAAAAAAAATTATAATAAATTTCTTTTAATTTTCGCGACCTTTTTACGAAAAAAAATTATTTAAAATAGTTTTTGTTGTGTATTTAACGGTCTTATTAAAAAAGGTTACGTCCTTTTTTTTAACTACTAAAAGTTATGGCTCAATAGGTTTAAACTAATAAATTAGTTCTGTAGTATTGGTTTTTAAGTAGGGCTTACTTTTGTGCCAGGCATTTATTCACTTTAAATTTTCTTTAATGGTATTTTTGATAGAAGGCTTGTTTAACGCAGTTTTTAAACGCACTTTTTTCCTATAATTATAGTTTTATTAAATCAGTCTTTTATCTAACATAACTTGATATATCGGCCACAGGTTAGGGTTAAGATTAGGGCTAAGGGTATAAATGAACTTCGTTAATATTATTTTTTGATTGGCAGTGGAAGGGTGTTTTAAAACAAAGTTTTTATTATAAAAAGCATATTAAACTTTTTTATAATTTTTAATGAAGTCTACGAAATCTTTTTTACATTATAAAATTACGCAAGGAATTTAAAGCACTTCAAAATTCAAAAACTTCATGTGATAAGCAAATATTAAAGCTCTTTGAATGATGACGGGCACCAACTTACGCTATGAGGCAGACATACAAATTTTTCTGCATAACTTCACAAATAATTTTTTTTAAGCAATGCTTGCAGAAAAAATAACGTGGTTGTTCTTTCTCTTCAATAGGTTCTTAGCTAAGCTCAACCCTTCCCACATAGACGGTTATTATGTTCCAAGTAGTAAGATATTTTTGTGAGAAAAGCTGGTTATTAATATACGTTTTTGACTAAAAATAGTTTAGTAACTTAGAGCTATGGCATCCTACCTAGGTAAAGCTTTAAATTGATAAAATAATTTAAAACTAATTAACTTACCAGCAAAAGTAAAACACTTTTTAACGGGTAGCCTGAATTAAAGCCGGGCTTCACAGATTTTAGGTTATTAATTTTTTAGCTGGATGACGCCGCACTCCGTTACTAGAACAGCCCACACTATAATAGATTTTAAAAGGTAATGAGCTGCCCCACTTAAAAAGAAACAATTAGGAGATAACAAAAGAACATAAGGAATGATGGCTGCTTTATTTAGATTAATATTTCTATTTATATATTTCCTATTATTCCAAAACATACTTGATATACTGAGGGTTTTGAATGTTCGAGACACTTCATAACTTTTTAGAATGCCAGAGATCCTAAGAAAAATGGCATCCACTCTTCAGTGCATTGATCTCTCAGACTTTGGCACCCTCAAAATTAGCTTATAATATATTAGACTAAGTTTTAACTTAAGTCAATTTGTATATATTTTATAACTATTTATTCAGATTCAAATTATAATACATTAAAAAAAAATGGTTTATATCAGCTTATCAATTATGCAATCACCTAATTATATATAGATGTATTACGAGTCTCGTCTTTTTTAAAAGCTAGTAAAGATATTCTCACTTAAAAATATATTAAATTAGTTATTTTAAATTATTTTGTAAACTTTACTAGAACCTTTAAAGTTATATACTCTTGTTTTTTACCTTCTACTTTGACACAAATCAATATAGTCGCTTTAAAGGTACCCTCTTATTGTAAGTCAACTGGCGACTTTACCATTAATGTATCACACTTCGTCGTAAAGTCGTTAGTAATAAAAGAAACCTGAAAATTGCTATTAGAGAGCAAATGCTGGATTGCTTGAGCTACATTAAAGCAGTAGTAACGTGAAAAATAAATCCATAGATCGCAGCAATAAAAATAATTATACGACAGTATAAAAATATTTGATAGTAATAAGCTTACACGCTTTGAATATAATATAATATTATCAACAACTATACAATTTCTGGAAATTTTAGCTATTTTCTTAATAAATCGCGAAGACACCCTAAAGAAAGGGCTACCTGTTTGTCGTACTACCGCTGGCATTGCCTAAAATATCTTTCGTTTGTCATTGCTTTTATGGTTAAAACAAAAACGTAAAACCTCAGCAAGTCAGAAGTTTCGTAGATTTCGAGGTCTGCAGATACGTCCTATAATCTTGGTATTTTCGGCAAAAAAAATTGTTTATGACGCCGACACGATTCTAACCAATCTCTACCATATTTTACTAAGTTAGCAGATTGAAAGTCGTTAAGTGTGAAGGCAGACCCGTCCGCGCAAGGGATTGCGGGTGCCAACACTATTCATAACGGTACTAATACATAGTTAACTTAACGGTACCTACCTGTTAGTGCTAGCACACATTAGAGCGACTCATAATCAACTTAGATTATATACCACACTATTCCCCTAGAATAAGGCGAAAATGTCTGAGTCCTCTCTAAAGGCAAGCAGCACCGAAAGCTTAAGGTAGTGCCTGCTTGCTAGAGGACCTGCAAACAGAAGTTAGTCAATCTCACCAAGGTTTCACCGATGGGCCGAAAGAATTCCCTAGTAAAGTATTAGAATATACGACTTTTAAAAGCGATGCCTTGCATACGGCGTAAGCCTTAAGAAAAAAATTATACAACAAAAGTCACCAATCATTTCCTAAGCCTAGGGGGGATTAGCCCAAGTAGGCTTGAGACGGTTAGTTAGCCATCATGATAGAGGTATGCTAGAAACTGGCACAGAACTCAAGCCAACCAAAAAAAGGGTTTTTTACCACTTATGAAAGTAGTCCCTTCGAACAGGGCGTTAAAGCCACCTTGTAACTTTCCACATTGCATACCCACCTTTAGCTCATTAATTCATAAAGGAAGGTACCATAATTAAGTTCTCAGGGTTTCTTAATTACAGTGACCTCTATAAGCAGCATTAACCCCAAGATTAAAAAGGAAGCCTCCCGACAGTAAAGGTTGACATGACCAAAAGAAGAGGACTATATTGGACATGCAATCCACCTACGGCTGGCAAAACTATCCTCCTCCTTTGGTATTGCTACCTACGGAAGGCCGCCTGGGCTAATGCTAAGGTCGGACGTCTGTCGATCTTTTTTAACTGCTTTACGACGTGGACCTGGGAACAAAAAGCAATCCTTATCTTCATGAAGAGCATATATAACTAAAGCGAGACTCCCAAGATTAGAACCATCAGCACTTCCACAGATTTTAAGCACCTACACAGGGCTTACCAAAGGTCTTCAACTGATAGCTAACACTTACATCACTTGGATTCTCAACTCCAGCCAAGGAGTCTTTTCACATGCAGTACGCACTCGAAGGTGCAAGATAAAAGATAAAAATAAAAGTTCACGTAGCACATGGGAAAAACCAGTTACGCCGTTGAGGCATATCTCTTATACAGGATTGTCAGCGACCTTATTTCGCAAAATTGAACTTCAAAAGTATACGAAAGAGAGCTCGTACTTAGAACCCTTGATCCTTCGGTAGGGTTGTCACCCAGTAACGATGTTCAAATTTAGTATATTTTAGTATATAGCACTATTACATTAGTTTGTTTCTATGAGAACTGTACCAGAATCCTACCACAAACGAGGAGTAAGTACTATTAATTTAATGCTATCCACCACCAACCACTTTAAAAGCCGTCAAAGAGACTAATAAAGGAAAGTCCTACTCAAAAATGCTAAAGCCCTCGGTTGCAATAGCGATATAAAGATGATGGCCTAAAAACTATTGCTCCGTTCGTGAGCTTCTTGTGTGGTTGAATATTAGAATCTTGTCTTTTGTTATGAACCTCACTAGTATAAATAGTGCAGTTGTACAGGACTTGTGTGTGATAGTATTGCTATGAATAGTGTTAATACCTAGTATATATAGATTTACGCCTCTTGGTTCTGTATACACATTAACCATTATCGTAGGTACTAGTGCGTAAGCTCAAAAAATGCGATAAAAAAAGGATATTGTTTCTGAAGGCTGCATATTTCCAAATCAATACAAGGACTTAAGAAAAAGTAACCTTGTAGGGTAGTGTCACTACTGTGGTTTTATTAAATGACACTATTTAATTTAGTGACCGAATTATATTAAAGATTATTCAGTACACAACCCATTAATTCACTAACTCAGTGACGCTACCCAACGCAAGGAGCTGGCCACCCCACAACCACGCAGTAGTAATAAAGATCTCTAGCACAGCTTCACTGGCTAGCTTATATACATAATTTTACAACAATCCTTACTAAATTGTATGCACTTACTGAATACACTGCTGCCAAGTATTTATGCTCAGCCGTTCTCGACGTAAGACTAAAGGAGAGGACTTGAACGAGCAATAATTTTAAGTTTGTTACTGCTTCCTCCTTTTTATCGGTAGCACAGCTACCAAAGGAATACTTTATCTACCATTAATAACCTATTTATATTATAAAATGTTACTGTTGTTATCTCAGTCGTCGTCATAAAGTCTAACATATTATTTCCGGTAGAGACATCATAAGCTGGCTAACCCCTCTCTCTTTTTCTTAAGGTCTTGATCGGAGCACAGATTATTTTGTTATAAAATTCGCTAAAAGTTTGCGTGCCGAATCTAGTTCTGACTCTAGATGATTGATAGTAGCTAACAATTTAGCTATTCGCCTCTAAGAATCTGTCTCTATAAAAAACATAAGGCAACTATTGTGAGTTAAAAAAAATAAATTTTTTCTTAACAATCTTTATATAAATATAACGTTTGAACAAGAATAAAATTTCTTAAAGTACAGTTGTATTTTCAATTACATAGGCCACAAACAAAATATTTAAAGTAAGAGGGATTGTTTTAAAAATTATTTTAAACAGATACGATTATATAGAAAACTAGAAAAAATAAACCAATTTCTTTTTTTAATACTATTTTTTGCAACCAGATAATACCACTATTCAAAAATGTTTATAACAACTTTAATAAAGCATATATAAAGCTAGCAGCTAAAACATAGATAAATATTTTAAAATCTCTAGTTTAGGATGATTTATTAATACTTTTCACAGTATTAACCTTGCAGTTGAAAAAAACACCGAATAAAGCCGACTTATTTAGGTTCTAACATCTATTTTTTCTAAACTGTGCCAGAAAAAGTGATAAGAACCTCTTTTATTAAAAAAATTGGTAAAGTAAGAGTTACTAAGCTTTTTATGTAGGCTCGGTTTTAAGAGTATGAAACCTTTAAGAGCAGAGAAATGTATCAGGGGTGACAACAGTTTCAACGTTTAAAGTTTAAATTTCGCCCCGGACGGTAGAAATACGCAAATTTTCTTGTGTCCCCTCACCGAAGATTAGATCTTAAAATTTAAGATTTCTCAACCCACTAATATTTATTATAATGCGACCGGCAAAGCTGTTTTTAAGTTTAATTTTGTCACTGTCACCGCTCGATTTGCTTCAAGGTGCCAAAAAAAAATCGAAGTTGTTAATTTTACAACAATTCGAAAGACCATGAGCATTCTGAACGAAATGGCCGGCGTTAGCGGTGTGGATCTTGGTATCTACTTAGTTTTAAATTATTCGAAGAGAAGTTTATAATTGTACATGGTAATGCTTCCTCCAAAAGATGGCAGTACTTCCAAGGAAAAAGAGTATGATTTTCAACAACGATATAACCTGAAATATTATATAAATTTATCACAAGAAACGGAAGAAAGTAGAGTCTCAAACTATGAGGAAATTGTTAATACTTATTACAATATGTGCACGGATTTTTATGAGTATGGGTGGGGTAAATGTTTCCATTTTGCACCCCAAGCAAAATCGGAAACTTTTAAAGAAGCTATGATGAGACATGAACATTATTTGGCATTTAAGCTCGAGATGAGGAAAGAAAAAGATTTTAAATACCTTGATGTGGGTTGTGGTGTCGGCGGCCCTGCAAGAGCAATATCAAGGTTAACAGGAGCTCATATTGTGGGCCTTAATAATAATGAACACCAAATTTATCGGGCCATAAAATACACGGCTTTTGAAAATCTGCAGTCCAAATGTTCTTTTTTAAAAGGGGATTTTCACAATTTGCCCTTCGAAGATTGCTCTTTTGATGGTGCCTACGCAATTGAAGCTACTTGTCATGCTAAGAACCTTGAAAATGTTTACTCTGAGATCTACAGAGTTCTAAAACCTGGGGCCAAGTTCGTGTTCTATGAATGGGCTTTGACTGATAAATTTAGTTCGTCGGTTTTGGAACACGTTCGAATTAAAAGGGACATAGAAATTGGGAATGGTGTTCCCAATTTGCATTCGGTTGATGCAGTCATAAAGAGTGTTAAAGTTGCCGGCTTTAAAGTTTTAGAGTATGAGGATGTAGCTTATAATACTGACGAGAGGTTTGTCTTTCCTTGGTATTACTCGCTTCAAGGCCGCTTTTCTTTTGCTCAATTCCGCCACACGGCTTCTGGTAGAAGGTTAACTCACTTTGTTGCAACTATTGGAGAAAAACTTGGCTTGTTACCGCGGGGCACCAGAGATGTTCACTCCATATTACTAACAGCTGCCGATTCTTTGGTGGCTGGAGGCTTGAAAGGAATTTTCACTCCACTTTTAAGGATAACTGCAATAAAGGATGTGGAATAAGGAGGTTTTTTAAAAAAATTGTTTTGATTTAATTAAAAGTTTAGCTAGCTTATATAAGAGTTTATAATATATAACCTATTTTTTATTATAGCTTACTGAATTCAATTCCATCGGATGTAAAGAATTTCTTTAATTTCCCACGCAAACGGCTAGGAATTATTTTAATTAATCTTAAAATAAACTTTATTCAGAAAGGTATTACTTACGTTAATTTTATTTTTATACAGTGAGATAAATTAAAATGCTCTAAGCGGATAATAAAAATATTGTAAACGTTTTAAGAACTCTACTTTTATGTTATATGTTTAGGTTATATAGTGAAATTTTAAGATCTAAAATACTTAATATTTTGGATAACGTAGAGTTTTAATCTTTAGTTTAAAGCAACTGCACTACGTAACAGAATTAATATATACACTTTAATGTTATGCAGAATTTGGAAGAAGTTAGTTTCCATATAAATCTTATAGCAAACATTAATTAACAGTTTGTGACTTGACATGTACGTACTGTAGTCGCCTTAAAAAAAGCTAATATTTAGCAAATGTTTTACTGGGATAATAATGGTTTGAGTATAAAAAATTTAAAATCCTATTCTATAGGTAATCATAAGTATAACATCCACAGTTAGCTTGAAATTTATTTTTACCCAATCATAGTATAGCTACAATTCTGATAATTTTTGTCTACTTTTAATAAAACTTAAACATTAGGCACTAGGACAATAATTACTTTTTATTTGAATCTAAAAAGATTATTTGGGCGAAACCTTCTGTAGCGTGGAATAGTACTATCCTTTTCGGAAGGGTTAAAGAGTTTTATTTGTACGCCTCTCAAGAGGAGTTGGGGCACGAAGCTTTTTTTAGTGCATTTTTAAAAAATAGCGAAGGGAATTCGCGCCATTTTTGTCTAGTGTGTCGGGAGTTTACTTAAAACCACAAACAGAAGGGATAACCACTGGCCCATTTTGTTCATCCCTGGACCTTTATAATCTTAAATATGAAGGCAGCTTTGTCAACCCTTTGCTAAAACATTGGTACTAACCGAGCTAAATATATAAAAAATTGAAATATTATGCTTTTAATAAACTTATTTGTGTTAACTAAGGGGTTTGACTAAACGAAGATCTAAATTTTTTTTAAAGGGTTACCGTATTTTTGTTCATCAACATAGTGAAAAAAAAAAACAAATAACTTTGCTAAATAAATTAAGCCTATTTCCCGAACTTAGTAAAATTTGGCTCAATTTTAAATCCTATTTAGGAGGGTTTGAAAAAATCGCAAATACTGCAGATATCTAATTATTTTTCCCTCTTGTTCAAGGAATGTAACCTAAAGGAATGTATGTAAACAACTTTTTACCAATCAGATAAACTATAAAAACTTGTCAACTAATTCCCAGTTTTTAAAAACATGCTTTTCCACTTGGGAGGTTGTTTGTAAGCTGTTATGAGCTAGAGTTAGATATTTCTTCGAGTTTACCAGCATAAATAACACAATGAAGAAATCTTTCTTTAATACCATATAATTTTTATGTGAATTTTAGGATAAGGTCTTTTATGTTATCATTACAATTGCTTGCTTCTTGAACATTTAAGGAAGTAGTATAAAATTTTCTAAAAAGAAAAATTTATCCTAGCATCTTTTCAAAAGTCTAATATATTTTTTTTCTGTGAGAAGTCAAAAAAATCCTCTTAAAATTTTATTCTGCGAGAGAAAGTCGCAATAAGGTTATTTAAGTTACTAGGAGGATGTGCACTTTTACAAATTAGGTAAAGCGACAAGTTGATTTCCATCACAATAGTTTTACGAACGATTTTGTCTTTCTGTCCTACCTGGTAAATAATAGAAGTATTACTATAGAAAACATTTTTAAATTAAATCAATTAAAAAACAGAACATCTAAGGGGCAGCTTTTCTGTTTTTTAATTATCTTAAGGTTCTAACAACTAAAGTTAGATTTCATTTTTATTTAATAAACATTTTTCATCTATCATAGATTTACGTATTTTCAAAACTCATTTCCAAAAATTCCAATAGAAGGTTTTCATAAGAATAGCATACTAATGCATGTCGAGACGTTACACAAATGTTCCTTGTTCAACCTAAGGGCATAGCAAAAGCAATTTGAATAATGTAAGGGATGCTACAAGGGAACTTTTGGAAGCCGCACAAAAAAGAGCTTGACTTGAATTCGTAAAAAGGTAACTAGGGCTATGTAAAAACAAGGTAATTAATTTGTTGTGTTCTTTGCCTTCATAAAACCATAAGCTTCACATAAAACGAGAGACGTAGCTCATCAAAACTAGTATGGTATGTTGACTATTAGTGCATGAGAAACGGGATCACTTTAGGTATTTATAACTGTTAGGATCTTGTGCCTTAAAAAATGATTTCCTGCCCTCTTTAGGCGGGCGTTCACTTTTTGGCGTGGTGAGAAATCTACTGGAGAATTATAAAAATTATAGATTCAAGTATTAAAGTGATGATGCGCCAATTGGAATATATAGAATTGGAACATTTACATTAAATAAGTTAAAAACAAAAAAGTCTAGAGAGTCATAACCTCATTCAATTTTATATAGTAAAAAATCTTTTTAATAACAACGAGCAATGCTACACCAGCGCGTGATTTCAAAGGAAAGGATTTAAGATTTTGTGTAAAAGCGCCATAAAGCTTAAGCTCTCTTATGCAAAGAATAAACTCGGGTAGAATTTAATAGATAAGGGGGAATATGTACGACCTCTCAGTCGAGTTTTCACTCGGTGTTTTCAGTGAGCTAACTTTAAAGCCCTTTTCAATTAAGCTTTTATCAGAAACCTCTCTGCTACTCTGGGGCGTAATAACCTATTAAAGAATGAACAATTTTATATCAGCGATTATAAAACGTTTTATATAGTAGTTTTTTGTTTTTTTTTTATAGACGCTGAACGTTACTAAAGAAATTAGTCATTCTTTGTCCGGTAAGCATATAGTTTTAATAGCACAATATAAATTACAAATGTTTTGTAAAAAGCTCATATGTAACCTGAGCGGAACTAATGCAAATAGTTCATAAAATCTTTTTTTAACTATTAATAAAATTATAATATATAAATATGACTGGCAGAATACTTTTTTTTAGGTTTTTCTTAGGAAGATAAAGCACCACAACTTAGAAGGGAAGTTAGCTTTCTAGCATGATGCGCTTACTAATGCACTCGAAATAGCGTCCTATCAAAGTGGAAAGGGAGTGAGTCTTTCGTGTGTTACTTCAATAGTTATAATTAACCATAGTTGTAAATGATTCAACAAAGATAGTATAACTAGGTTCTAAGTAACTTTCAGCGCAAAGCACTATAAGACAAAGTTAGCTAAAATGAGCCAATACAGGTGGAAAGCTTTATCAACTTCGACTCAGGTAACCTTATTACATCTTAAATAATAAAATCGCAGTAGTTATTGGACTTCGAAAAGATATTTCATATACTTGGAAAGGAGATGAAGCTGTCAGTAAAAAATATATTAACAAAAAAGAAAATTGTGGTTATACAAAACTATTACTATAAAAAGTATTTTTTTAAAAAAAATTTATTTAGTTAGTTTTAGATAATATAAATTTGATAAACAGCATTACTAACTTAGATTAATTTCGCAAATCTGTATTTTTCGTATACGAACCTTGGTTCTAAAAGTAAATTTGATGTTCACATTTTATGCCATTTATTACTTATCCATATTATGTAGATATTTTTTATTCATACATATCTAGGTTAACATGACTTCTAATGGACATTTGGATGAACTTTGTTGTTATAAGGTAATTTAAGTTTCAAAGACTATTTTGCCGGGAACTCTATTTAACTATGCTACTTAAATAACAAAATTTTAAAATATTTCAAGTCGAGGAACCTCCTCAATTGGACAATTTTTTCTTTAAGCAGAGTGTGCAAATTAGCTACGCTACAATTACTGTCTTTTTTTAATTAAAGTATTTCCACCAACCGGTTAATCCTGATATATTTCTCTTTCTATTTAATAAACTAAGCTGCTAGTTCCCTCTCCCCTCTAGGCAATGCCTTAGAAATAACGCATGGTCAAAAATTAACTAAAGCTAGCATAGTCAGATGTTAAATTTTTGAAATCTTTAGTTAGTACTCTTTATTATGCTCTTTACATTTTTTTAATCAAAATAAATTAAAGTTACTAAGGAGGTCGAGTGTTTAGCTATATTGATTATTAAAATTTTAGAAATGAAGTCAAAATTACTCTAGTTTACTGTAAAACAAGTGTATACTCCTCTATAACTCTTAAACCATGAAACCCGTGTTAACGAAGTGAATAGTTATAAGAACTTTTTAACTCAATTGCAACTAAGAGAGGAGAGTGCCTAAATTATAATTTTGACTGTAGCTATAACTGCAAAGCTGAAAAATTTAATATCTACCCTGGGTAATATAGGATCCCAAATTTTGAGGGTAAAAAATTTACACCAACTTCAAGTTTACCTCCTAAAGCGAGTTAATCAATAAAGTAGTTTTGTCATCGCTATATTTTATTATTGGTTCATACTAAAAACAGTTTTGCGTAAGTGTTTTTGATATTACAGAAAGACAGAGTTCTTAACTCATTAATTTGATGTTGACTCGTTTCTGGAAACTAAGAAATCTACGGGAGAGGTGAAAATACTTCGAAGTTTCATAGCAAAACGCACTTACAGGAAAAAAAAAGTATTATAGTCTAATGAATTAATCTTCACTATGGGCGATTAATGGGTCTTCTAAACTTAGTTCAGCCTGTATATCTTATCAATTTTTTACATACTTCTCTACTCTATACGTGAAACCTTACATTTGTTTTTCCTCCAAAAAATAATTTAAGGGTTCTTTTAAGCACTAGATTTTACTCCCAAAAGGATATAAACTTTTTAGGGGTTGGAAGATTATATCCAATACAAAAAAAAAATAGTAACTCGTACTTAAATTGTTTGAACTGTAAGAAGAAAATTATCGCAAGATAATACTAAAACAGTTTTAGCTAAAAAAGCCCTTCATATAAGAAATGAAGGAACTGCCGACTAGTAGAAGTAGTATGAAACATCTATGACCTTGTTAAAAAGTACAAGGGTGAGCATTCGTAATTGACCAACCAAGTTAACTACAAGATCGCCCAGTTACAAGAACGCTAAGTTAAAATTTGTAAGGGCAATGTTATCATCAATACTAAGAAGGTACAATGAACTATGAACATATAAAATAAGAATGCTGGTCTCGTGTTTAATTACTGTTATATAGTTGTCACTCTAGCCGGTTCTACGTAATTTTATATCTAAAGTTTTGACTGACGAGATAACATTTTGTTAGTTGGTGTCACATATTGAAGCGTTTAAGGGAAACTCGTTAATACTGTTTACGTCATGTCACAGGTTCATGTACGTAAATTAAACCGAAGATAACGGATGAACAATTTAAGTTGTAGGTGTGCAAGTTGTTCATTAGTTGGTAAAAATTTCAATTATTTATAGTTTTTCTCTATTTTAATAATATTATAATCAACTAATGGATTTTTTAAGATTTTATTTATATATATTAGTATATCATTAATAATAAATTTTATAATATAGGTTACAGGATGATTAATTCTTGTTTTACTTCAAGAAGCACCATAAATTATTTTACTGAACAAATTACATATTAAGATCCAAAAAAAAAACGCCTGGTGCACCCGCCACTCTAATTTTACAATGATATGCGATGCCCTCGAAAGCTTACAAGCATGTATACACTAAGTTAGCTTAACTTTTAGTTGGCTGCTAAATTTTAGTGTGGATATACTATAGTTTTAGAGCCAAAAGTCGAGGTTATGTACAAAGTCTCTCTTCGCGAATGTTTTTATTATAATTTGGTGGTGTAATTAGTATTTAAAAATAAGTTTTTGGAACACTTCTTCTAACCTTACAATTTTTATGGCCTTAAGTTATTTACTATTATATAAGACAATCATTATGTATTTTTCCTTATACTGCACCAGTTAACTTATAATCGCTTTCTCGCTTTTACACAAAAAAGTTTTTTAAACTGTAACGGGCCGTGTAAAAAGAGTAACTTCTAAATGGTGAAGTATAGTAAATAATCTGACTTTATAAGTATTAAACACCAGAACGAACACAAGAGTAAAACAGAAAAGAACAGTTGAAAGGCTCTAGGGCCGAACGCAACATCTAACTTGAAACCTCTTTGATGCTCTACAAAGGGCGTAATAGAATATAGCAGTAATTGAAAATTATAAAAGTGTTAGCTGCCTGTGAGACGTAGATTAAGGATTAACAGGGGTGTTAATATATTTTTCAACGAAAAAAGAGTTTTTAGATCCCTTTATTTTCTTATGTGAACAAGAGAACACTTGTGGAATGTGAAGGGAAGTGCTGCCATTAAAAAATCGTTAAAAACATGGTGTATATATCGAGAACCGGGAGCTGCCAGGGGGATGACTAATCTTTACTATTTTGGATTAAGCTCTTAATGGTTGTACATCTTACACTTTATTTAATATCTAAAGGATTACAACTGAGTTACCGAATACGAAATCCAGATAATAAGATCTAAAACTTCAAAATGGCGAGTCTTTCTATATTACCCTGAAATTAGTTTTATCCGCAAACTTGTTTTATAAAAATAAATTTCAACGGTTTTGTGCTGAGACAACTTTTATAAAATTTAAAAAATAGTTACAATTTTAAAAACTAATCAGGTAACATTTCTTTATTAATTTAAAAAGTACTACATTACATTCCTTTATATTGTAACACACGTTAAAAAAATTATGTAATATTTATGGGGCAGATGCGTGTTTTATTTTGCAGTTATTTCTTTCAGTCCCCTCAAAACCAGCGAACAATAAAGGAAACGTTAACAATTTAAAAAATTTAAAAAAAATTTTGTATATTATTAAAAAAATCTGCACGTGTATTAGCGGAGACTTTTACTAGCTACCCACAATGGTCTTTAATTTTTTTTTTTACCATAAATATTATTTTTAACTATATTATAAACAGGCCTCTTTATTTTTTTCTTTTTTTAAAACCCTTGTCGGGGCTGTGGTAGTGGTCGAGTTAAAAAATGAGTTAAAAATTAAAGGTTGGATCTGCCTCCTTGTTTACTTAGAACCTAATTTTAAAAGCTAAAAATACTATGTGCAAGGTAAACTACATTCTGTGGATCAGTTTTTAAACATTAAGCTTATGGATATTCAAGTTTTAGAAAGTAGTAAGCACCCGCACATGGTTTTTAATTTATAAGCTTTTTTATTTACTACTTAATCTTTATAACAGTTCTCCGTAAAAAATTGCTTTATACGAGGTTCTGTTATAAGATACGTCCAAGTTCCTCCTGATAAAGTGGATACCGATTTATTGCAGGTTTGCCGTCAAACTCTTTTACAACTTAAAGTTTTGAGTATAATAATAAATTGCTTTTTAAAGGATGCAACCCGGAAGGCTCCCAAGCAGCAGGCTCTTTCGTAGTTTTCAAAGAAATAATTGCCCTCCTTATGATTTTTTAAAAAAAAACTAACTTTTGGCTGAAAATTATGTAAAATTGGACTGGTCCTCTTTTTTTATTATTAATTTTTCTTAAAATGAAATAAATGTTGGCAGTTCTAACTACTTACTATTGATTATTAGTTTTAATATAACAATGTAGACTAATTGAAAAAGCAATATAGTCTTATATAATGCACTCTTTACGCTTATCACCAAAAGGTGTACTTTTTTTAATTGCAAGCCAAAGAGAAGTCTCCCAAACCGATACTACCAACATAGCCTGGGGTAGATCTCTCCTATTACTCTTGGATTTTCAAGCTTAAGTTGCTAAACGTAGAAACATGGAGGCGAATTTAGTGTTATTGCTTCCAGCGCTTCAGCCCAAGCAAAGTTCTAAAGATCCCCCCTACCCCATCGTGATATGGACGACTTCGGGCACAGTTGAAAATGGTGCCTGCATAGTAACTCCCTTTTAAAAACTATATTGCGTCAACCGTCAGTTACGTTTATGGCCTTTGCTATAAATAACTGAAGTGGTTCACATACTTTAAATAGACAATTTTCTAGTGGATCAATAGTTGATGCCTGTTTATTTTATGCACATTTAGGACTGTAGTGTATGATTTCTACTAAAAACACAAAACTAGGTCAAGTTTCTTAATCAGTGTTCCCTTGAGTTATTTTCTAAAGTCATCCCAGCGGCAAACTCGGCTTCTTGTTGTGTATATGGTTTGTCCTTCAGTTGCTTAATTCTGCAGGTAGGGAATATTTTTAAAATGCAAATAAAAACTATTAAGCAAATAAAGTATTAATAAATACTGATATAGCATAGAAGACATGCCTTCTCTTATGTACTTTACTTTTGGCATGAGAAGAAAGCACATTTTCTGCAACAAAGTATCGGCTGCCCCAAAAAAATTGAAGTTTCTGTTAATACTTTATTTTTTTAAATAAATGAAACCTACGCGCAAGGCACGCAGTAAAATTGTCCAAATCCTGGTAGATCTGGATCAACAGGTTGTTGTACTAAAGAATCAAACATTTTCGGGTTGTTAACCTCTTCGTAAATTTGGTCTAAATCTTTAAGTTTACTACTTAACCGGTTGTGGCATTTATTTACTTTATTCCTTTTATAAACCTTTTTACGTTTGTAACCTCCCGCCATTTCGATAATACTTCTTTCGAGTCACCTTTTAAATTAAATAAAAACACGAGCATATGCAAAATTGTAAGCAGTGGGCACCACTTATACATTTTACTATCTGACCAATCGTATTCTTAGCTTCTAGCCGAGCGCATCACAATATTTCTTATTTATGCTCTAATCTACGGCCAGACCTCTCTCTATAAAGCCTTAAATACTTCCTAATTCGAGTTTTTTCTATGTTACAAAAGATGACAAGGTAATTAAATAGTTAAGTACAGTGCTTACTGGAGCATCAGACACAAACAAGTTGATGACGAGATCTATAGCGATTCTTGTATAAACTTGAATTTAATAAGTAACCTCTTGAATTGATAACGGATTCGGGTGAGCGAAATTTTTTTTTGATAATTTTCACTGTATGCTTTCAATGTTCAAGGCGTGATTTAGGATAAATTTTAAAACAGGCCATGGCACTTCTAAAATAGTTCTCACTATAGTTTTTGATGATCCTAAGTGACCGAATAATGGACAGAGGGCAATAAGACCACGCTACAGACGCGTAAACCATTTTACTCTGAAACTTGTGAGATAAAATTAACTCTTGTTTCGCTGTTTTAGCCTATATGACGACATATCACAAAAGGTTGCTCCCAGAGAGTTAGTTGTTTATGGGTATTCCACTGTTATGTTTCAGCGCACCGAGACACTAAAGTATCGAAGGAATAGATGATATTTAGTATTCTCAAGTCGGTCAGTTTAGTCATGAGACTCGCGTGTTAAACTATACTAATAGCATTTTCAATATTGTCGATTTTACAGGTCTAATGTATCCGAGAATTATATATTATAAATAAAAAGTATAATATAGGTATATAGTAATTACTAACGAAACTGTAATAATTTTTTTGATAATTTTCAAGCTGCCTAAGGAGTACGACCCACACACCTAAAATAAAAAAAGAGTGTCTGTGTATGCCAATCCTTTATTAACACCAATTAGTGGTGTGCCCTCATGCGCTCAATTCCACATTATATGTAATATTTTAAAACAACGCACATTTTGATTTTTGTGCTCAAGGACCTCAAGAGTCATAGGGTAGAGGAGTGGTTTTTTGTAAAACCCAATTTGGTTTTTAGGAATGATATGGTTCTGCTTTACAAATTTCTGTACTGATAATGACTGCCTTTGCTACTTTTGTTTAGTACAGGATAGAAATTTATCTGTCGATAGCCCTCATGTCCCGAGGAAGGGTTTTTTGATATTGGTGAAATAAATAACAAGTGACTACTTTTCCCCTCGAGACGGAAATTGTAAAAAATAATGGGTGGCGTTAATAAGAAGAGTAAGAGTTTCCATAGTCAATTCAGATAAAGTTAGAAGAAAGCAGCAGAATTTACAAAACTTCAAAAATTCTACTACTAAAGTTTTTAAATATAAAACTTTTCACTCTTAAGAAACAATTTTCTGCAGTTCGAGTAGTCACATAGGGTTACGGAGTTTTGACAGATAATAACGAATTCCATTTCGTTACTTACTAAGGGTTTTCAAGAAAATTTTCATGCAATTGCCTCGACGAAAGTTAACTAATTACTTTAAATCTCTGAGTGGACTAAGCGTTGCTCACTCCTACTACACCTTTCCTAGAGTCAACTGTCTTTCAGATGCACTGTGTAGTTAGGCAGGTTAAAAAGATAAACTTTAAACTTTAGGCGTGTTCTTCTGTTTACAAATACCATGCGATTTTTTTCATAAAAGTAGCTCATGTAACCCCCTCTCCTTTGCATCGCAGGCCAGAATTGCACACTGCTGTACTCCGTTGTGATTTGCAGGGCAATCATAATTATTTGAGATGTTCATTGAGCAAATTGCTTATAATGAAGAATATTTATTCACCTTGCACATGCATTAGTTCCTTCCTTTGCTAGGGAAGTGGATATAGTTATGGGGTGCTACTGGTTCTGTGACGATAGCAGTAGGCATAAATTGCAAACTTCATATGGGTTTTTAAAGTAGTAATTACGTCCTCTAACGTTTGTAGTATGACTACCATGTTAGTAAGCATATTTCAAATGTTTTTTGTATGACTTTATGATTTTTAGCACACTTGACTTAGCTGTAGGCTGAGGTGCATTAATTTAAATTAAGACCCAAAAACTGGCAGCGAGGTGGCGTTGACCGATTCCTCGTGCTGTAGACGACCGAGTATTGACGTAAAGAGCTAATCATTGGGAACAGTGTCTTGCCCAAATGTCCCTAATAATGAAAAGGAATTTGATAAAAGTTAAGCCTAAGCTGGTTTCTTCTACTAATGTGGCCTAAATTTGAATATAAAAGTCAGTTTTGTAACCAAGTAACTTATTAATGTTGTAGTAAAACAAAGATTACCTTCTAGTTAAGTGTCACTAGTTTCTCACTAGGGTGTTGTACCTTTTTAGGTTATTTCACCTTGGAACTTAAAAGTAGTTCACACAACAAAAGAGTCTTAAAATTATGGTCAATATACTAATTTTTATCATATTTAAGTTCACCATGTTATAAGACTCCAACAACCTAAACTTTAACTTTTAATAGGATTACTAGCTAACTCAAACTAGTGAGTCCATGTTTGCCGAAAAAATCCACTTCTTAACAAGCTCAGATACCATATGGTCGGCAACTTGGTCCTAAGCCAGTAGTTAAGAGGAGGGTGTTCGAAAAGGTTGCATATTGGAAAAACAAAGTAAAAGTAGTAGCAAGAACTTGGAAATAAATTCTTTTGTAGTCGTCCAGTAGCTTGTGAAAGCTCTTTCGAGTATAGAACGAAGCGGGTTTACTAAAGGAAAACGTAAAAGGTTTTAAAATCTTTGTACCTAAGTCTCCGCTACACTGGGATTAATCCATGGTGAAAAACAGATGTAAATTATATTTTACTTTTGAACTTGGTAGATGCACAAAAACAAAAAGAGCTTTTTTTTTTTGCCTCTAAAGCTTTTCATTCGAGCGAGTTTTCAAGGGTGGAACCCATGTTGTTGTTGAACATCCTGGATCCCCTTGCATTGATTTTCGGAGATAAATTCTTAGGACTACCTTAAGTGCTCGCTCTTTTAATAGTTAATAAGTTATTTCGAATCTTTGTGACTTTTAAAAATCGTTAGAAATTAAGTAGAATCTTATGTCATTTCGGGCGTTTCTTATGTAAAGTTGTTGATGTTTCCATGTTATTAAGAGAATTAAGTTTTTTGGATATTTTTGCTAAGTATAACCTCAGAGGGAGATATCTATATTTACGGATATGCAACTAGTGTATTGCTAGTAGCGGTTTTAGTATTACAATGTGTGAATACTACTGTTGCTATTATTGGTAATGGGATCGTTGTTAATAATTATTAGCAGGGATACCTTTTCTATAATTGCTAAAAGGAACTTTTATCTCATCCACAGACATGAAAGCAGAAAATTTATATGTATTTGGCTGTCCTAGATCCCAAGGGCAGCCCTTTTTTTGGCAGTACTTTCTAGTTCGAAAATCTTAATGTTTGCAAAATCTAGTTTCGTAGTTAGGTCAACGGTAGTAGCTAATAACTTAGTGGCCGACTTAAAAAGGGGGCTGTACGTAGTCGTTACTTAAAAATTCAGTTAAAAATTTTTAAAAAGAACAACTTCTACGTGTACTTTCGAGTCGATTACTTATATTTATAAACAAGCAAAGGTATAAGTAATAATAAAAATGCTTATGGCGAACGAAATAAGAATTTATTAAAGTTTAGAAACTATGTTAAACTATATCCCTACAATATTTTTTGTAAAATTTATACTTATTACACTTTATAATCTTTATTAAACCATGGGTTAAGAAGAATTTCTTTCAACTCTTTTTAAGCAGTGAGAAGCCTTAGCAAATTATGTGTTGTAAGCCAATAGTGTCATGGGATATTTTCCTGGGGATGAAGCACACTCTGGAGTAAAGTGAAGTAAATATGAATTAGCCAACTCATTAATTTTGTTTATTTTTCCGGTAATTTTTCTTATTAAATTGAAATAAAACAACGTTCTCAAATTCTCCTTCGACCATAAAATTGCAAGTCACAATACTACTAGATTACCTTTTTTGCAGCTTTGCAGAGCATACTCTCCAACTTTACTTTCTGTAATAATTTAAGTGTTTGCAACCACGTTTACCAACTAACATGTTCACTACTCTGGCAAAATTAAATACAAAATTAAACCTTTAACAAAGACATTTGGTATGTAAAACCCCTTTTTATTCTAACAATCGAGTTATATTATTTTTAGGTACATACAATTAAGTGTCTAGCAAGATCTCTACTATTGCCATTGAAAAAAGCATTAACACGAACTATAAAAAATTCTAAACTGCCGTTTTCTGAAAAAGTAGTGAGTTTAAGGAAGAACTCGGAGGGTAACGACTGAAGTTTTATCCTCGCTGTCAATGTCTGGCGAGAAAATCTCCTCGTCCTCACCAGAAGCACAACCCCTGCATTGGCCGATTTGGACGCCCTTCAGCCTTTTCTGCAGCAAATCGTATGCCGAGTTTTTCTCTGTTAGGTAAAAAAACCGGAAAAAAAAAGCTACGAGCCGCGAAGATGGCGGTAGAAAAACCTTTTATGAAGCGTATAGCCGGATCGGAAGAATGGGCTTCGCAGGACGATTGGGGGCACGTGGAGCACAAGTTGGTCTGACCAGCGCCGAACCGTTAGCATAAAGAGGCTCTCACATTTTGCACAACTGCGACTCACCGCGTATTTGCCGCAGACCACACAGAAGTGCCACGGACAGTGCCACGTGCCGTAAGGGGCCTTGCTCCTGAATTTAATTTTTTTTAAGCAGCAGTAGATTCTCTAATGGAGCATTTTACTTTTCTATGCACTTCAGATGGTACACTTTTGGACAATGAGGAAAGTCGCACATGATAACGCTCCCGCCTGATATGAGCAGTATGTGACTTAGAAAATAAGAAAATCACCAAAAGTGAAGGACCCAAATCGCAAATGAAACAAAAGTCCTCAGAGTAGTTTTTTTTGTTCTTCACAGCGGAAGTCTTGCGCTTCGCCTTCTTTCTGGCGGGCGGAGCAACAATACTTCTTTTGGGGGGATCCCTGCTCTTCGTCCCGCCGAGGACGCCTGAAAAAGTGGGAAAGTTGGTTCAAACTGTGAAGACTATAAAGCAAATAGACCTCTGCAACTGGCAGTGCCGCAGAGACACACAGTGGCTTGTGCGTCTGGAGTGTTCTGAAAGAAGTGCGTGTCGAACTTGTAGTCAAACGTGATTTCTTTATAGGAAAGCACTTAATAGAAAGCCCTTAGAAAAAGTAAAGGGGCCGACCCGTATCGGGAGAAATGTGCTTGATGGCAAAGATGCCCACGCGTGGCCGGCCGCCCACCATCCACTTCTGCGTCTGGCAGTTCGGATCGCAACTGTGGTTGATAAATCGCGCTTCGTTCCCCATCTCAAGCGCATCAATCACAATGTCCTAATAAAATTAAGAATAATAAGAATATAAACAAGAATAATTGTTGCTTACCTGCTCTAAAGTCAGAAAGTAGAAATTCTGTTTGTTTTCTTCCACCATCTTCTGCATAAGCACCCTCGCGTCGTCCAGATGAATAAGCTTCCCAACATATTCTATCACAAGATCACCTACAGCCAAACTATTAATAAGCTCAAAGCCCAGCCATTTAAAACAACCAATAGAGAAAACCAGGAGCTAATGCGTTCCGGCATTTTAGACCCCAGCGTTTTCCATTGGTGGTCAAAAAAGTATAGACGTCCCCATACTGCCGCTTACGTAGTCGCTACATGCGCTGCAGGTAACCATGAGGCTTCTCAAAAGGCGTGAAATACGTGCCTGGTTCTGGCAAATGAGAGGATCGCATTGCTTAGGGCTACATTCCACACACATGATCCTGTTCACGCAATCCTCAAGGCACTTCTTGTGTTCATCGAGGGCCAACACGCTGCCTGGCAAGAAAAGAAATACGCCATGAATTGTGCAGAGAGTCATTAAGGATACGAGAAGCGGAGGGCACCAATCACAGCGGCCGTAGAGGAAAGGGATCATTTTCTTAAGGTTCCTGGAGTAGACGTTCTTTCGGATTTTGCGGTACGGCGGCGGCCGGCTGCCCTCGACAAGTTCCTGCCAGGAGAAGAGAATGGCTAAGAAACGCGTTGGGCTGAAAGAAGCGTGTGACAACCCACTGTAAAGCTCGCTGGAGGGACTCTTCCTTGTAGAACGCGTTGGCCTCCACCACAGCCCGACTAGCATGCCACCATGTGAGCGAGTGTTTTATATATACAAATATTCTTTTTTCCTACTTGAATAGGGCTTTCGAAGCCTTCGTGTTTGCCTTTGCCTCCTCCACCTGAAAGCAGCAGATCAGAGTTGGTGGTGGTCATGAGGTTGGCACCAAAAAAAAAAATACCACGCCGCAGTATGGAAAGACTCGGTTATTAGGGATCCATGCGTAGTCTCTCGAGCCGAAAAAGTAGACTCCTTTATATATATAATAACACTACATAACACAGCGATAATGAAAAATACTAAAGGGAGACTACCGAGGTCAAAGGCTCTTCTCCTTGCTGGGTTAAGGCGACGGAGACACTACAGATATATCGTAAACACATGCAGGAGCCAAAAGAGGCATTCGGACCTCCTCCTGGGCGAGTACCCTGGCGGGCCACCACCGATGCGAACCGAGTCGCGCCCAAACAACGTCTCCCGCTGGAACGGTAAGGTTAATGCAGCGAAATCTATACAAAAAAGAAATCAACCTTTAACAAATTTTCCAGAGACGCAATCCTGCGCCGGAATAAGTTTAAAATAATAATAACAGCGAATGTTAAAAAGATACGTGGCAGATCCAATGATCCTTCTCGACGGGGACGCCTGTCTTTAGAGAGCAGTGATCGCATATGGCGGCTGGACAGCTGTCGCAGAGTACGAGGTTGCCTCCTTCAAAGCACAACATGCAGAAAATAATGTTCAGCTGCTTCTTGCTTTCTTTTTTTTGTGAAAATAATATCATGACGACCACATATTCATTGGAAGTAAAGTAACCCAAATGGGCCGGACAGCGAATCACTGAAGCATACAGCTCGCATGCTGCAGGCAAACATTCTCGATGATAAGAGTTGGTGCATTCCAGACAAGCAAGCAACCCTATCACAAACTATTTCACGAGGAGAATAAGTAGGGTTTTTAATGAAAAGACCAACCGGTTTTGATAGGACCGCTACAGTTAGAACACTTGTGCAACGGGCAAGCGAGAGCACCCGTCTTCGAGTCGTACTCGAAAGACACGTGTTGCTGTAAACACTATAGAAAGGCAGTCGTTATTTTGTGGGGCGCGCAGCCGTAATAAGAGCAGTACTTGCATGTGATAGCTCCGGATGCACTTTTTGACAGCGCACCGATATAAAGGGCGGTCGTCCAGTTGCTTGCAAATAAAACATAAAAGTGCGCCACCAAGGCAATTGGGACAAATAAAGTTTGTGGTGGAGGCACCGCCACAGGGAAGACAAGCACCTGGAGAGCCACGTGGTTGGACGGTAAATAGAGAAGTAGAGCATGATAGAGAAGAAATACGAACCGGGTCGAGAGCAGAGGGCGCAGCTCCGACTTTGCTGCTGGTGCTTTAGATTGCTGACCTTCTTTTAACGTTAAGAGAATAGAATTGTGAAATGCTGTATATTACTACCACCAATTTTTTTTTTTCCTTTTCAAGGTGGTCTTCGTTTTCTTCTACAAGATCTGCATTCTCCATTTTCTCAACAGAAACAGTCGGCGAGGCAGAAATATCTTCAGCTCGATAGCTCGTCTGGAGGTCTTTAGGCGAATAATACAGAGCGTCCAGTAAAAAGGAGTATCTGCCGTGTAATATTGAGCTAATCTAATCCAACCATTTCGCTACAGGAGCCGCTGCAAACCTTTCGTGGGCAGCCAAGTTCATAGCAAAGTGGGCTTCATGGACCGCATCAACGTACTGCTTACCGCCTGCTCGTGCGAAATTCAGTATTATATAGTTATTTTTTTATAAGGTTAGTAAGCATTCGCTATAAATTTTATTATTTAGCATAACAGTTACCGTTAATCACAACCAAACTAAGTCTGTTACTCAATTTTGTTACTTTTAGAAATAATTCTTAAGAATCCTCCTTACCTGCAGCGTGGTATACTTCTTCAAAAACCTCGCTATCCTTGTTAAACAGAGAGAGACGATCAAGACGGACCCAACCTTCACACAATACAAAAGTTATAAAAAATCTAAAGAAGCGCTTCTCGGCAGAACCAGTCCCACGGCGGGGCCCGAAGTAGCACACATGGTAAAAAAAAAACTGCTTTTGGCTGTGCGACGAGGCTTTCTTGAGTCTTTTGTATAACTGCGTAGATTCCTCGGGACAGATGAGAGCAGGCCACGGCTTATAGCTGCACTCAAACATGTGTTATAAAATGCATTACAGGCTAAAAAAAAATTAGTATGAACAAAGAGGAAAAAAATTTGCCTTGAATTATAAATATAAACAATCAGAACAGTATTAAATTTATAAACTAAAAATAAAATTAATTGGATTATAAATATAAACAATCAGAATAGTATCAAATTTATAAACTAAAAATAAAATTAATTTTAAGCAAATCTGGATGAAATAAAAGTTATAGTAGATAATAGAAGTGAGTTACCCCTTTAACCGGGAAAGAACGATGTCGAATAAAGCGTATAGGTTATAATCTTGAGATATTTGGGTATTGAAAGCAAAAGTTTTTTGAATTGCAGAAAGAACCGGCTCTGCGGAGGCTTTTTTAAAATATATATTGCCCTTGTGTTTGGAGTAGGAGCCCTCTGAAACCGCCCTTGTGTTATTTTTAAGATTGCTCTTCACACGAGAACCTCGAACAAATTAAATTATTTAAGCTAAGGAGATCCCTCCAATATTTAATTTTTTTTTTTTAAGTAATTTACCGTTAAGCAATATATCGGCTTTTTTTGAATAGCCGTTAAAATTTCCGCAATCACTTGTAGCATTAATTGGCGAGAGTACCGGTGCAGTGCCAGAAACTATTTCCGAGGAAAATTTATTAGGACATCTCGTCTTCTTGTCGAGAGGATAACTAAGCATCTCTGTTATGGTTCTTTGCCCCTTTAAAAATATATTAAACATACAAATAGCAATCCCACTATGACCACAGTTTCAGTTCATAATTAAAGGTAATCACCATTTGAACTCTTCTCGGAATCGAAGTAGAATGAAAGTTCTTAGAAAAATTGGTAGTTTTGCTCAGAGTGCCATTCACTGGGAAATTTAACTATTTTAAATTAGAACAAGTTCCAAGGATTTAGATACTTACAATTGTTATAACTCTGTAAGCCATTACAAGTCACAAGTGCACTTGCATTGTTTATATGTTTCCTTCTTAATGAGTTATAATAAATACTATTTTGAAGCTGAAATTGCTCCTTTTCAGGCGCCTAGAATTTATTATTAAGAGGCGGAAATTTAAAAATTCTAAGACATTATATATTTCACTAGAAAATACTAAAATCATAAAGTGAGCAAAAAAAGTTAATAAGGAAAACCACCGATTCATCCATGAGCGAAACCACAGAGGCAAAGTTGAGCTCAAAAAGGAACCTGTTCAAACCCTACGCTGGCAAACGTTCAAATAATTCATGGCAGCAGGAAGGCATCATTTATATAAAATTGGGTCGAATCCAATAGCTGGTTTAGCGTTCTTTTCGTTATAAAAAAATTTATTGAGAGGACAAATAATCAGAAAGCAGTTATATAAAGATGCAGATACATGTAATTTATCTTTGTATGTGCTAAACTACTTTTTTTTGTTTTCCATGCATTAAAGGTCCAAGCTAAAAACAAAGCGTTGAAATATCTTATAATTACATGTTAAGTTCTTCGCCCTTTTATATTGTGGCTATTATGATTTTTATTAGACTATTTTTAGTTTCAAAAATTTCAGTAAATTTAGTGTACACTATTCTTTTTGTCCCCCAGATTTTTTAAGAAAAGTTTTATTTAGATACTTGAATATTTCTATTATGGATCTATGAAAGCCTCCTCTCTATCAATATTGATATAGTAAATTTCCCAAAGCTTGTCCCTCACTCTCTACCAGTTAGTCGTCAAATATATGAGTCCACAAGTTGTAACCATTTATAAAATGAAGGCAAATCAAATTAATCTTTTTAAGGTTGCTCCTTTTATTAAAAAAATACTAACTTCCAGACAACCAACTGGTTCATGGATCATCCTTTTTTTAATATACTTAAAAAAAAAATTATGAAACCATTTCAATTATTTTTAAAATGTTTGCTGATGAAATATTTTAAGCAGAAGCCATAGCTTTAACTTTTCGCGTTCATAACCTTTTAAACCTTCGTAACCACGAGCATACTCAAGTTAACCAGATTTTAATAACAAAAAAAGAGAATAACATTTTGTAATTTTAAAATGAAAAATTGTCAAAGTTGCATCTAAATAATGAACTCGAAATATTATAGTCATAGTCTCACGCACTTATAGTTATTTTTAAACTGGGTAAAGTTAAGTATAAATAGCAACTAAATGAAATTAACATACTTACTGTTTAAAAGTTGAAAAGGCCTAGCTTGCATTTGTAGTTTATATGTATATTTTATTGTTATAAATGACAAGTTTTAGTACTATAAAATCAGTTACCTTAAATCACCTTATTTATTAAGGATTAAAGTATGTCTAGTAGAGCTTTTTCACCACAACGATAGAAAGTTTAACTTCGAATTTAAGTATAATAATTAAGCCTTAGTTGAAAAGGGAAAAGAAGCTAGAAAATTATAATATTTTTTTGGTTTGTATTTTCTCTTAATAGTTGGCAATAATTTAAAACTGCAGTATATTTCATTTAGTTTATGTAATTTCTATTCCATAAAAATTGCTTTAAGATTATTTATTATACGTTGTAGGTATCCATGAGTTCGCTGCTTAGGAGATTTAGATAATTAAATATATCAAATTACTAGAGAACTTTCTTAATTCTAAGTCAGTTGGCAAGCATGATCAGATTTGTTTAAAACATGATTTTTTTTAATAAAACGTAAACATATACAGTCATTAACTGTTGTTAAGAGGTTTTAAAAAAACTAATTTCGAATTAAGCAACTTTTAAAAGATTTGAACGCCTACAGTAAAGGAATTACCTCTCATGAAAATATGCAATAATAAAATTGTATTAGCCTAGATAAGGTCTAGAAAAGAATAATTTTTACTCCGCTATTATTCTTTATAACAAAAATATATAATAAAGTTAAAGGTGTAACGTTTGCCTTTTTAAATTCGTTAATTTAAACATTTAGTTTACTTTAAGAGTTTCTCAAGCAAGGAGTGAGCTAGCGACCTTACTTACTAATACCATTAATAAATGAATTATATGTTATCTAAAAACCAGTGCTGTTATTTATATACGTATTTAGCTAATTATCAAATTGTTTATCCGGGAAAGTCAAGCTAGTAACGCCTGGCCGATTTCTTAAAGGCTTCGGTCTCGTTTTCGTGGCAGCCCTGGTTTTGCGGTTTATTACTGCTGTGGGCAAGACATCGAGAGTTCGAGCTTAAAATGTTTCCCACCATTTTTTTAAATTCCTTTGGTCCGGTTACGATACTTTTTAAAATGTTGACAAGTTAGCGCCTCGAATTTTTTAAAAAAGAATTATGAAGTTAGCTTCAAGAGGATTTAGGGTTACATTATTAATATATTTCAATTAATTAATCATAATCATAAAAACTTAATTTCTAAGGTTTGCAGTAAGTCTGTAGTGCAAGCTAGAACTTTAATTTTATGAATTCTAAACATGATAAGTAACCAATTATTGCATAAATTTTATGATTTTTTTATTTTGTTTAGGCATATACTGTGCTCTTTTAAATTAATTAGTTATATATATTAGATAAAAGTATTAAAATATAAAAAATCAAATATACTAGTAACAACTGTTTTGCCTATTAAATTTAGTCCAATGAATTATTACTTAAACCTTAGTTTAGGAGCTTTATTTATCTAAGAAAACAAGAGGGCCATATAAATGTAATTTTGATTATCGTTGCTAGTAACAATTTTTCATAAAAAAAATATAAATTTGAGTAGACAGCGGAACCGAATCTGATACACTTTAGAAATGCATGTTTCATATCTATTAAGGTAGTCTTATTAAATAAATTATAAAATTTTTAAGTGCAACATCTTCTATACGCTTGCAATTCCTCATTGGTGCGATAAGTTCGTAATTCATAGCCGCCTGAACTCATTCCATTTTTTTTAACATTATACTTTTTAATACTAGTTTAATAATAAGGGTAATAGGAGTATTGTTCTGTTTTCATTGTTCCCTAAGCACGTATTAATTCTATACATCATTAAGTATTAATAATATGAAGTAATCATAGATTTCGTGTTTAAAAATGCTCGCATTCATTTTCGCAAGAAAATAGGTAAGTATTTATTTTTTTTTCTTTGTAGAAGAACTGCACTTTTTAATTATACAAGGGTCAACTCTATCTTTTCCTTGTATATATTCTTACTTAAACTTAATTACTAAAAGTTGTTATTATCAGTAGGGTCTTAGTCACAATTATTATTATCTTAAAATTACATGTATTTCGTCGTCATAAAGCAAACTACTACCTAATTTATAACTTTTAACTAAACCGGAACACACATTTAAAAAAATTGATAATTTTTCTATTTGCAATACTAAATAAATATCACATGTAACTGTTTTTATAAAGCGTATAATTCGTAGTAATCCAGTATTAATGTCCCTTAAAGTTTTTAATACTTAAAAAGTTTGGCTTGTCACACGCACAAGTTAATATTTGAGACCATCCAAGTTTAGTGCATTTAGTGGTTATTTACCAGAGGAAATACTGAGAGGGTGGCCGTGTCAGCTTTATTATAGTGAAAACTTCGACCAAACATGTGCAAGCTGTATGAGATATCCATATATAATTTTATTAAACGTACAATAATTCTTTACAGTCGCCTAAAAAGACAAAAGATTTACATTTATATTTACCTTAATGCATTTATTATACGCAACACGACAAATTTTAAATTTATTGGATTAATGTAAGCGTTATTAAATTATTGTGACAATGATGTTTAACTTATTGCGTTATGAAATAGTTTACTAAAATAAAATAATATTGCCAACGTATATCGATGTCAAAATAATATAATCATGTTATCCTTATAAGTAAAAGTTTTAATTACCTTCTATTTTTATTTTTCCTATTTTTTTTATGTTAACATTATAATAATGCGAGAGGAACTTTAAAAAAAGAATTAAATTGATGTAGACTTGTTTCCTCCCTGTTTGTTTAAGGTTATTTTAAGGGGTTTGAGGAAGTACTATTCTCAGATATTAAAGTACATAACTCCCGTTTTATACGAAGTTTATATAGCTTTTATTTGTTGTACTTATATAAAAATTATTATATGAACTTATGTAGTAACTTTAGATTTTTTACTTCTACTTTTAAGAGGAAATTTAAGTGAATGGCGCGTTTAATGTTTGTTTTCCTTAAGAAAATATAATAATTGGGTTAGAAGTTTCTTTAATAATTATTGTGAAGATTAAACGGGTTAGCTGAATTACATGAGCTAATTAACTTTTTAGACCAACGTAAAATTAGTGTTTTTTTAATGTTTAATAGTTCATAATAATTAGAATTATTTATAAGTCAGGTTTAATAACGAACAAGAAGTAGAACTTGGGTTAAATGAATGTGTATGAAGTTAAAAACCTATCCTTCCCGTATTATTAAAGAGACTGACTAATTTAAACTTTCATGCATAATATGAGTATTTTACAATTTTGGTTCGACTTCTCACTATGTTAATAAAAAAATGTTTTGGATATAAAACTATTTAATAATAAAAATATTAAAATTGGTCGTAAAAAATTTAACAACATTCATTTATCATTTAACTCGTTTTGGAGTTTTAGTCTCTGAATTTGGTCTGTTTGCTAGTGTCTATTCCTTTTAAAATTATATGATAAGGCTTACAAATGAAGAAGAAAACTTTAACCATGTAATTAACATCGAATAAGAGTTAATTATTAAAATTTCCAGAAGTAGACTAACAAGTCTTAACAATGCTCGTGATTCTTACAGTACAAGAGTGAAACCTCTCTTTAACTCTGCCACGTACTTGTACGAACATTTTCTCTATCCGATTCGCATTATAAAGGTAGTACGTTTTTACTTCCTCTGCATTATAATTGCTAACCTATTTAACGTAAATATCATTAAACTACAAATTTAAAATTATTATAATATTTATTATTAATATATTACCACTTAAAGGTTGGGTTTACAAATGCGTGTGTTGTACTTGACGTTTTTCTAGTACATTGGTTGAATTTAAAAACTTGAATTATAACAGTTTTATTTAAAAGATAACTGTAATTATATGCTAACACACCTTAACAAAATGTCTAGTTAAAGTTGAGTTTTTTACGTTCAATTCCTGTGAACATTTTTCATCTACTCTTATTCTAGACATACTTAATAACGTTTAAACATAAATTAATTTAATGAAATTTGCGGAATTAATAAAATAGCTAAAAAAAAGAAAATTTAGGTATCAATAAGTCCCTAAATTATAAAGAAAACTACAGTTTCTTATGTAACATTAATTCTTATTAAAATGTACTTATACCTTCATAACTGTATTTTACGAAATGTGATTTTTAACTGGTTTTGATTCAGATACAAAATGAACGAAATACAAAAAACAAAACTACCACTAAAATTATAATAATCTTACTGGAAAAAAGACTAAAAAAGTAATAAGAAGGTAAAATAACAGTAGAGGCCATGAAAAAAAAAGGAAAGAAGTTACATAGAACCAAAGAGATATAACTAACGAGGAAGAAGGGTAATTAATGAGTTCCTCAGTGTTATTTATAATCAATTTAATGGTTTTACGATTTAACAATATATAAATGAACTAAATTATAAAAAAAAAATGATATAGCACTATGTTTATATAATAATACTGAGTATAATAATAGACAACTCAGGATTCCTGCTGCATCTCTAACAAAGAAGTAAACGAGTAAAGCAAAAGTAATTCTGCCTTTAGCCTATAAGATTGCTGCTTTGGTTGTTTAAAACTTGATGAGTTGTGTGGTGTATACTCAGAGCTCAAATGGATAAGAGGGTAATTACTATGGGTAAAGCACAATAAGAAATTGCTTTGAGGAACTTAAGGTATGCGAAGTAATAAAAAAGAGTAGACATTCCTTTTTTTTAAAATTTTATTTGTTATTAATATCTAACATTGAGAGGAATAATTTATGGGTTATATTTAACATACGCAGTTATGCTTTTGCTGTTTTACAGTTAGTAACTGTAAATCATTTCTACAATACAATAAGAGGGGGAGATTAGAAAGTATTTAAAGATCTAACAATTAAGTTAAAAACTGGTCACAAAAAGTTCAATGGAAGACTTTAACTGCAACAACTTTTATATACGAAATAAATATATGCATATAAAAGAAATACCATAGCCCACAATCTAGGGGCCAAGCGTCAACTTAATACGTTATAAGCATTCCAAGTTATTTACCAATATATATATACCTTCTTTTCGAAACATGTGAAAATTACACATTCTTGTAGTCCGATTGATGTGCCCTAAAATATAGAAAAATAAGATAATATACTAAAATAAAATTAAACTTGCTATGAATCGATGGATTCGAAGGGGAAAGAATAGTATTATCTGTCATGACTATAGTAAATTACATTAATTTTAAAATCATGGGTGTATAATGTAATAAATTTAAGAATAACATGCACCCCTACTTTTTTTAAAAAAAATATTATGTAATATGGTCAGTTTATAATTCTTAAGCAAAACCGATTTTTAATAAAATGAATAAATGTAGCTAAGCAGTAGCTTTAAAAAAAATTATTAGTTTTAAACAAAAATCTACACCTTTTTATATAATTATTAATTGAATCTCAGAGCAATTAATATGGCAAAAATAATTAGATCGTGTGAGATCACGGGGGCGAGTGTATTAATAAGGGAGAGCCTAGTCTAGTAGAATAACGAAAAAATTTTGTTACAATTTAAATCTCCATTAAAGAGAGCTGTTACAACAGTAATATGCCCCTTCAATAATGATCGTGTCTCAAATAATTTTTAACCTAGAAGTATGTTTCGTACAAGGTCAGGCTAAAGTAATTTTTCGAGTTGCTTTTATAAGAGCCCTTGTTAACAGAATCAACCTTCGCATCACAGTAGCAATCGACTAAGATGACTTTTCTCTCTTCCTTTAGCTTTTAAACATAAAAAGCCCTTGTCTGAATAACGCTTTAAGATCTTATTTTGTATTAAATATAATTTATGCATTAAACTGTTAACATCAAAAAAATTCCAAGATCTCGTTCATTGATTAACGGAAAACTTAAATTTTATAAGTTTCTTAATATGTGCGCCTTCTTGTTCTGTTACAACTTATTACTGTATCTTTTTCTTTTTTTAACTCGAAGTTAAAAATAAAGAGAAACAGGTTACGGTTTAACTTGGCAAAGCATATCACATTGGGAACCAGAGGGTAAAACTGCAGGTTGCACATAAATAATGACACATTTAGCAGACAAATAAGTGGGATTTAATGATTGTTATGACAATCAGGGAATTTCCATTTATAGAGGTTTTTTTTTTTCTTCCTTCATATATTACTGTCCATGTTTAAAAGTTAATATGTATATATTCTCTATAAAGACTTTTTAATGTAATTAATTGATAACTGCAGATGCTATATGTAATGGTCTCTTAATATCAAAAAAGACGGAGCAGTGCATTGAACTGGGCTTTTTAAAAATGAAAAAGTTACTATAATTAACAAAAAACCGCGGAATTTGAAAAAATATTTGTGGTTTTTATAAATATTTTTTACGTAGCTATAATGGGTAAGACTGTGCTGTGAAAACTAAATTTACATTTTCATAACTTTTACTAAAAGTGGGAGTGAAAGCATTGGTTAGGGTCGGGCCTAAAAGGCGGAGCAGTTATACTTGTGTCAAGTCACTGGTTATTATAATAATGCGAAGGTTGACTTAAAATCTTAAACTATTATTTTTTTTTTTAATAATTATGAAAATTAACATGCAACGATAGGTCTTCCGTGTTTTTTTAGCTTTGAAAACAAACGTTAAAATTATAATTAAATTATTTAAATTTTAGAGTAAATATATAAATTATAAGTACAAATACTAAACTTTTAAATTATACAATGCATAAAAAGTACACTTCAATATAAACTATTTTAAGAAGCTTTAAATAATTATTTTGAAAGACTACCCGGTGTATATATAAGCTAATAAAGCCACTGTATATATACCTTTATTAGTGTTAAATCCTACGAAAATGACTATTTACCTTACACTATCCAAATTAATCTTTGTTTGAGTAAATCATACTTAAATTAATAGTAGGCCAATAGAGCAGTTTACAAAACACAAAAAAGAATAAATTCTTGCATCATAGTGTGTACGCAGTTATTTGATTCAAAACACTAATAATATATTAATAAAATGACCTAAAATTAAAAAAAGTAAAACAGTTTAGTATTATTTCTTTAAACGAAAAAAAACATTTACTTGGTTAATGATGGTTTAACATCTTGTGGGTATAGTATATAAAGAACCATCCATTATTAACTTCCTTGTCTAAAAATTATTTTAAGATTCCAATTCAGGTTGTTATTGTTGGTAGAACCAAAAAAGGAACCCTTTTTTAAAAAATTTATTTGTTCTTTAAAGCTACACATCGACCTTGCCGTAGTTTTTATATCGTTTTAACGAATATAAATAGTCTTCTTCCTGCGCGTTAAATTTTTTTTTTGTTTACTAAACAATTTATCAGCATAAGTTTTAGACGGATCTAGTTTGCGCGTATGTTCGCTGAATATAATTTCCACGACGCGTTTGTCGCTTTCCTGCAAATATAATAAAAAGAGCTCGTACAATAAAGTTTTTACTAAGCTTGCAGTCCCCCTTAATTTTGCGACCTTTTTTTTAAAACAACCTAGTTCCTTAAGTAATGCTAATACCCTCTAAGACCCTTGTATTTATTCTCTTAAAATTTTTCACCTTCTCTACGCCTAGGCTGTTAGCAATTACATTCGTTCCGCAGCTTAATTTTATAAACACATATATGAGGTCTCTCCCAAAACATCCAGTTGTGCTTCAAATATAGTCCTTTGATAAATGATATCACTATAAATTTTTGTCACAGGATGACTTTAGTAAGGTCTTTTAAACTGTTTGCATTGTCCTATGAATTTTAATAGACTGGTGGCGGTTGGCAGTAATTAAGTGCAGCTAAATATTTTATTGTTTAAGCATTTACAAATTCTTAACTTTAATAGATTCACTGAGTGTCTAGAGACACTCTATCTATTGTTTGTTAAATTAGTATGTCGTAAAAAGCAGTCAGACTTCGCGTTAACACTTCGTTCGACTTCTACCCATACATTCCGCCAGTATTTATCCATCTCTGTAGGAATCATTGCCTTAATAAGTACTTCAGGAGTTTATCTTTATTACCATTAAACGTCTAAAAAGTACCCAACTGGAATGATGGTCCTAACAACTAACATGAGCTTCGACAGGTTGTTTATTCCTCCTAGGTAGCTACATTAGTTACCTTATCCACTCAGCAATATACACGATTATTTTCTAGCACCCGTTTCAACTTGGTTTTCTTCGGTGATTCCAATTTCTTTATTAAAAAAAAAGGTTTCTCGAGATTTTATTTCTTAATGTTTGTTTTGAATTAGCAACCATGTTTACTGAAATCGAACATATTACTCTTGCACTCAAAAGATAAAGTCTGCTTGAACTTTGTGTTTATCAGAAATTTAGTATAAATGCAACGCAAATTGCTAGTTGTTAACTAAACCTTGACCATCACAGTTTCATGTTCGTTGCGAAGTAAATCGAGGCTAGTTTTTTAGGTCGGTATCCATTCACAGAAGCTTATTGGTAAGCCGTATGAATACCATTAATTAGTACACTATGCTGTTGTCGTCTAAACCCGCAAATATAATAAAATCTAAACGATTCTCTACTTTTAAAAAAACATATCACATATTCTTAAGTATTAAAGTTTGTTTTTATAAGTAAATCATATCTATATTTGTTCGAAACACAAGCACATTTGTAAAAAAAAATTCTTAATAAATTGCTTTTTAAATTTCTTTCCTTCTAATAAGTTTGCATAAGCTATTCAAATGAACTCCTTAGGGCCGCTAAACCTAAGGCAATCATCAATATTGATGTATGTATCTCAAGTTTAAAAATTATGTAGTTCATACCTTTTTAATACTGGAATGGAACGTTAACATAGTCAAAGGCATAGCCGTCCATTGTATTCTTCTGGTTTCTGGTTATTACTTACTGGTGCGTGTTATTTAAATATACTAAACCCTTGGAAATATCCACTGTACTAAAAAATAATTTAAACTTGCCGGTCTAGGCCTTTCGCGGGGAGGGGGAAGGTCACATATTTTCTTAAATTTCCAGCTTCTATTAACTATAATTATAATTTAGCATCACTCCTTGCTATTTCAACCTCGATTAAGTTGGGAGCAATTAAATTAGCTGCCTTCTTGTCAGACTGCACCGCAAGCATTTGATTTTTTTAGTCACACTATTTCCTTTTTTACAACTCATTTTTTGAGTTCACGCTCAAAATTTAGTACGAAACTCTCCTTTAGTGCTTCTTATCCATCAACGCATCTTCCCTGTGAGGCAAAACTTTGCGATTCACCAAGTTTAATCTCTCTTATTATACAGTAAATTTAAAATGCAAAATGCAAGTCTGAGGAGCTCATGGAAGTGCAAAACTCCACCCAAGCATCTAAGAATTATTTTATATATATATACATATAGCATTGTATAAATAGTTTTTTAAAGATAATACCACATTAGTAATATAAATTTATTAATAGCTTACATATTACCTCTTTAAACCTTTTTTTTTACTGCATCAGCCATAAGCTCTCTATTACTACTCCGGTAACATTTATTTATCCGACCTATTTTGGATATGCTTTATTTTATCCCCGTAAAATGATACTTATTCTGCTTTTTATTACGTTCTTGGTATTAAAATTTAAATTGTTAATGTTAAAAATTGTTTTTTCAAAGCTTATATATAAAAATAAATTACCATTTGGAGAGTGAGCAGAGTTGGTGACCACAACGTCTTATAATATATCGCTAGACAGATCCTGTTTGTTATTTAAGTTGCCCAAACTTTATTATAAGTTTAATATAATTTCTTGTTATTTTCACTAATATTACTTAAATACTTACACTAAATATATATAGTAATTAATGTTACCGGTATATCTCGTCTAATACCAAATATTATTATCTATTAATAACTGTTGAAGTTATTAACACCAAATTTTCTACTAGCTACTATCTCAACCATCTTTCCAGCTATAAATTTGAAGTTTTCGGGTATTACGAAAATGTAAGCAATCCCCCTTTCAAACCAGCAGTATCAGTTTTTAAAAGTAAATTTTTTAATGGTGATCCACAAAGTGACAGCTAAAAAGATGTCAATGTTGAGAGACTCAATAATCGAAAGGGGAAGGGGTGTGATGCACAGTATAATTGGCCCGGATCCTTTTTTAAAAGATAAGTTATAAAAGAATTATTAAAACCAAAATACGTTATATGGCATCCTAGTTATTTAACATCTTTGAGCTTTAATTACACTTGTTCTATTGTTGCACGGACTTCTTTGTGAGATCAATTTTGCATCTCCGTTTTTTTCATTAAACGCTCTTATAGATTATCAAATCCGTTCATAATTGTAATTTTTTCTCTATGCATTATTAAGTGGTATTAGCGTTTTACGTACCAATATTGTACAAAGATGCAGTGGGGTGCTTCACAACTTTTTGTGGTTAATGGAACGTCGGAAGAACGAGTACTATATGCTACTATATAACATATATAATTTCACTTGTTATAACAGTTTCTTGGGTGCACTCTGCTAAAATATACCCTCAAATGCTCTGCTAGATCGGCATGTGTTCAAGATATGCTACAGATCTTTTTTAATAACGCAGTTTATCGGATGAAAGTGAATCTATGCGTTTGCAGCAACAATACTCAAATGAGATTAATTTTATAAATGTGTAAAGAGAATACTACTAGTAAAAAAGAAATTAAGTAAGTAAACTCTAAAAGAGTGGGTGATTTTA